TTCACATCTGATAAGTTCAGTTCTTTATGCGGACGCAAACTTTTCCGTCTTTGTTTAGCTTTGAATTCACCGAGCTCTAACTCTTGCCTTTCATTCAAATGTCGTACCTTCAATTCAGCAGAGGTCCCACGAGGGCTAGTCCTATGGTAGTGAATAAGTGTACTACTGTCAGAGCCACAGCAAGAAAAAACATCAAGAGGGACTTGCTTGGTATCTGAGGGTGGAACCATGGACATGTGGCCTTCTCCATCCGGCAGTGACTCAAGGAACGCCTTGTGCTTGCCAGGTACAGCAGAGACGGTAGGTTGAGTACTGTAACAGCTGAAATCCAATATTCTTGGCCTGAACGCAGGAAATAGCTAGGCGGTGCCAGATAACGCGAATCTGACTAGTTCCTGAGTTCTACTGTATAGCTTCCGAACTTCCGCGAGTGGCGCACAGTCAAAGGTTCGATCAAAATATCAAAACACGGTTTGTGGTAAATCAGTGGTAGATTCGTAACGAGATGGGTGGTACTATCAAAGCAACAATAGGTTACATCAAAATTACAAAAGTACCTCAACAGTCCCGTTGGATAACCATACAGTCCAAACGTTCTCAGGCGCAAATACGTAATATACGATAAAAACTGGCTAAACAAGTACAACTGTTAGGTGCCTGACAGTCAACAAGAATATTCCCGACAAAAGGGATCAAAACTCAGTCTACCAGAATCAAATCAACAAATAAACGTTTCCAGTGGACAGTCAAAAGATAAACAGTCAAACCAGAGTACAACCGTATGGTGAACCAAAACAAAATGTCGGGCGCAGTAAAACAACACCACCTTGTCAATGGTCCAGCGCCACACAGTAGGAAAGTGGAACACTCGTGAGTGCAAAGTCAAAGAAGACAGTCAACTAACCAAGTAACATTACACCGGCTGCGGTCAAAGGCACAACATCCATAACGGGGGCAAAAATATTCAGATAAATGTCAATACTATCAGATAGGGTGATCAGAAGGGATTTGCAGATCAATTTTTCGCTGCACCTGTATAGTTTACTAAGCTCGTAGGGGTCACATGCAGTCAATCATTGTACTACAACATTATTGAAACCCGATGTAATGTGATCAATCTGCGTTACTACCAAACAATAACGAGTTATATCAAAATCACAAAAGTACCGCGATGGTGCCACTGGGCAAGTATAGAGTTCGAAGATTTTTCTGACACAAGATGTGTACTTTATAGCGAAAAAATGATTGACGGAATACAACCCCCAAATACCTGGGAGTCTAAAAGGGTACCCCCTACAAGTTAGACCAAAGTTCTGTCCACAAGAATCGAGTCAACCGGCGAACGTTTCGAGCAGGCAGTCAAAGGACGTGCAGCCACTGCATGGCACAAACTTATGCTCAGCCAAACGGAATGTCGAGAATGGCAGGACTGCAGAGTGGCGCCAGCAGCCCAGGATCATTAAGGATAAGTCCCGATCAAAACAAAGGCATAGTAGAGGATAAGCCGGAGAAGACGGGCAAATGTTGGAATATTATCACGTGGGTCGGAGCTAATGGATGCAATCTACGAAGACGGTGGAGGTATTCAGACAAACATCAGTACTGCCGAAAAGAGTGCTCAGGAGGGATTTGAGATCGTTCATCCCCCTACGGCGGCGCCCGAAATCCCCCGGATACGCAAGGACACCTCCCAATACATTCAGTCGTGGCTCTGCCCGCATACGTTTGGGGCTTCTAACTAAAAATAGCGGACTTACATTCTCGTTCCCGAATCTGTATTCTCGTTATCTTCCTTCGGATGTTGACGCTCTTGCACTCCTACTTTTGTAGCACTTTTCACAGACACCATCGTAGTTCTTGCTGGACCTCTTTATCCCTGTCAATGACACTGCAACCTACGTAGCTGATTTGTTAGGCACGAGCAAAATGTCTCCTTCCTCGGACTGAAAATTGTCTCAAGTTAATGGCGACTGAATATCAAGAACCTCATCTTCACTAGCCACCTTCTTTAGAAGTGTGAGACAACAGTTTCCTATGTGTGTCATCCAAAGTATAAAAAAGAAGCAAATAGGAAGAGCAAGTTAGCTGTGATTTCGCTTTGAACCACATCACAAGTATTTGCCAAGAATTCAGAAAAATTAGTCTGGGTCAATTACACGGTGAAATTCTCGCAAGTGTAGTCGACTCTCACGACCCAGAAGTTGAGCCCGATGTGTGACCTGATACCCTTCAGGCTTAGTTCTGGTATGTACTTTAAGGTCTGCGTTATATCTGAGGTTAAACAAACGAAGAGTCGGGTGGTCGGTAGTGTCTATGCTACTGTAAGCAATCGTCGAATCCCCCCTTAGCCTTACCTATTCCACAGGCTACAGATCAAGCGCTAGTTCTTGCTTCTCATGTCCCAAGCCTTAGCTGTTGTAACCTTTTAGTAACCTGTCCCTCAACAGTGAGAGTAAAGTGCCGTGGCTCCGAAATTCAAGTGAGGTGGTTTGTGGGGCCGAGAGCTGGGTGTCAAAACAATGATCCAGGTGTACAAAGTTTGTCTGAGAGTTATCGGTGCCAAGATCCAGGAAATACTTTTCTACAACGAATGGTACAGGATGTTAGCTTTTGGGGGACCAAAACATTCGAATCCTATTATGCCGATATCGTTGCTACTTATATGCCATGGAGACTGCATTCATGGTATATATCATGGTATATATGCACTAACTTGTACTGCATGGAGTCAAATACAAGTTCACCATTGCTTGTCCACTTTTGAACTCAAGTTAAATTTTCTTGCAGGGTAACCCTATGTTCCTGGCCTCCGATTTCCCCCAGCGTTTTCATGAAGTCGGAAGAAAGAAGGTTATCGGAAAAGGCATTCTAAATTCTACACGCGAGGGGCAAAGATGTGACTGTGGTATTGAACGCCGAAGAAGGTAACTTGGAGGCTCTGTTCCCTCAGAAACGGAAGAACTTCTGAAACTCACTTATAGGTTCGGCCTGGATTATTGCTCCTCCGCACAGAACCATCGCACGAATTTCTTTCGGTCCACGAAAAGGATAGTTTACGGGAGGTAGCAGTTCGTTTCGTACTAACTGAACGCTTAAGTCAGCAACTTAAAGTACTGCGGGTTCATCGAGATGTCTGGGAGCTCCTGGGAAGGTGAAAGATGGTGGAAAGATTCGCAAATGACAGTCAGTTAAGAGTTCAGCTGCTTCACATTCGTCAGCAGTTAGCCCATTGTGTCCTGCCAAATGAACGACACTTTTAGAAATGAAAAAGTATAGAGAGGCATACTTTTCAGAACACGAACAAAGGCACTCTAATTATAGCTTGGTATCGTTGCCCGTATGCACCCAGTGGCTGCTTGCAGGTGTTTCATGTCTGCTTTGGCATTTTGTATGTGTTCACTACCGTTCGCTTTCTGTCCCATTCTGGCATGAACAGCTCACGAGGGGAGTCGCTTAGCACTTTAAGGAACTTGAACTTTGAGGTCGAACATGAAAAAACAGGCTGCTAACACAAATGATTTCATCAGGTGCAATTCTCAAATGGGCATTGGCATCCTATCATGCTGAGTCAGCTTCCAAATCCGTCTACTCCTGTGTCTTTTCTCGATGCAGCAACGCCTAATTACGCGAAGCTCCCGTGGTAGTCGTCGGGGGGTCACGTTATTTTGGCGTTAGGTAAACACATAAAGCAGATAAAAATATGGTCTATTCTGCCCAAGAGAAGAGGGTTTGCAGGGTTATTCACCGATAATCCTTCAAGTACGAAATGAAGCCCAGGCGACAAATGGCTTGGGCGTCCTTCCATCGCAATACCGATCTAGATTTTTCCGCGTATCCCAATACTTTGGCATGCTTTTGGACCTGGGCCTCAATGGAGTCGTCATTTCATCTGATAATATGAATAACTAGGTTAACCTTAGGGAAGCCAAATATTGGAGTTTTAATGCGTGTCTCTTCCTGTGGGGGTAAATAAGTGTATCCAGCGTCTAGCTATTGTACTGAAAGTCCGCAGATGGTTCCCTACGGGGCATGGACAGCAATAATGAGAGTTACCTAGATCCTTCAAGGCAGTTAAATTCCCAAATGTGGCTTGATGAGGTGTGCGAGGAAGACTAATATTTAGTGATGCCTCGACATCTCAGCACCTCACACGTCGCTGTGAAGTAGCGCCAAGTTGGTGACAGGCAACCCCTTATCCAACATCTGTAGAAGAACACATGACTCAGGAAAGCCAGTAATTTGAACACTCAGTTCTCTACTTAGTTTCTATAGCCCATCGAGTTTACTGAGAAGACACTTCGCATTTGTGTAGACGAAGGTTCTTCCTTCTTATTTGAATGCACTTGCAGATATTTCACTACAGTTTACTTTCTTGCACGAAGCCTCATCTGTGGAGGTTGTGGGCCTGTTTTGGTGTGGCTTGCTGATCAGTGTGAAAAGGCAGCTTAAGAGAGGTGAAATATGGGCCTCACCATAACAGACTTCTGGCACCACATTCTCTGTTGGTAACACTTCCTAAACATGGTTCAGTAATCAGGCTTCAGCGGTGAAGCTTCCACTGAAACTATGTTCTCTGAAGTTGAGATCTCTTATAATTAGAGTGTGTGCCCCAGTTCAAGGCAGCCACTGATTGCTTTCATGATGGAACTCTACTGACAGCGTTTTACAAAAAGCCTCAGTTAGATGCCTGGTAGTTTCAGACAGTTTAGTACAGCGAGAATTAGCATTTTATGTAAAACAAGATAGAAACCAACGTTGTGTGATGCCCCACATCCTTAACAGATCCCTTGTGGCTCCAGACCGATGTGATGTTCTCATTACCTAGCTCCTTATCCAAAATCATGGGAGAAACCAGTGTCCCAACAATACCAATAAAACCGGCATTTGTATTGTTAATTAGTCCCGTAACCCTTCAAGTTTTTTGAAATTAATTTCTGCATATTCGTGGAATGAGCCTGTAAAAAGAAATTGTTGGTACATTGGACACTGTTTTTCCTGTTCAGTCTTTGAACCATTGAGTTACGGTCACCTTCCCAGAAGGAACACTTTCAATATGGTAAGCTGAAATTCTAATTTGTTATAAAATGTAGGCTCGCAGTGCCGAAAAAGCAATGTATGTTGCCAACATTCTTATGAAATGAATTTCAGGACTGCTCTTGCACGGTGGAGAGCGGTTTATGTGGATCGTGTTCAAGAGACAAAAAAGAGGCCATATATAGCATCTGAATGTACGGGGTTAAAAGATTCTTTGTATTACAGACGGCAAATTGTGCACGAAATTTCTCGGAAGATAGCCCAGATTCAAAACCGTGCGAGATAACCTTCCACATAATATTTTCTGTTTTAGCCAGCCTCGGGGAGTATAAGTTGAGAGATTTAAACGATGACATAAATAAACTTATCCGCGAAAAATCCCACTGGGAAGATCATATAAAAAGTCTGGGGGGTCCTGATTTCAAGGTGAGAATACATCCATTCCTTATTAAGTTCAGGCTGAAGCACCTAAAATGCTGGAAAAGGAAGGTAAAGAAGTTCCTGGTAATAGAGGATACAAGTATTATGGGGCCGCTCGTGACTTACCAGGCGTACGGGAGTTATTCGAAGAAGATCGTAAGTGGACTCTCACAATGCATATTTTCTGTTCCAAAATTTCTTTGTATTACATAAATCCGAAGCACCTCACGTATCCAAATCAGTAGAAACATTTCATGACTAAAAAGTTGTAGGGTTTTAAGTCCGCAGTTACTCCTATCTATGGAGTGAGCGAACAAATTATGACTACGCTCGAGATTAGTTTGCATACTATTTATAATTTTGACCCTTGTGTTTGTTCCATTATCCAAAGCACAGTACTAAAAATTATTCCTGAAATCAGTCATTCCAAAAGCTGACTTGTCGCTAGGTTTTCGGGTCCAGAATGAATCGGACATACAGTCTACATTGTGTATGATATCGTGTAAACTAACTGAATTAGCGCTCACTAGAGTAAGGTCGAGTCTTGTGTTGTGGTAGTATACCACATGCATTTAAGCAGGGTGTGCTATAAATATAAACTCTTTCCAGCATTATAGTGCAGGTACGTGGTTCGTTTATTTAAAATTTGGTCTGCATGTTTGTCGTTATGTGTAATGTTATTGGCTTTAATCTTGTGACAGTCTGAACTCGATTTTCATTGTTCCTGAGTGCAAACCAGCCATTCCACTGAAAAAAATCCATAGCAAATATGTAGATGTAATTCAAATTGGTTGCCGGAATACGGTATCCAAATGAGTATTCCTTAGTAGCATTAAATTCATCCAAAAAGTTAGATTTATCTCTAACTCCGAAACCTAAGAAACCAATTCATTGGGCGTACAATGATGCGGTTCCATCGTCGACTTTCTGATCACAACTCATCATGTTTGAGCAAGGGACAAATTGGAGCAATAAAGAGCTCCATACTTGCACACCTAGTTGACACTGGACATCAAGCTTATACTAGAAAAGCTTTCAAAATCATTCATCGATTTCAATTAATTTACCACATGGATTACGCACTCGCTTACTTCACATAGTGGAGGCGATTACAGTCCACCTTTACAAACCTAACCTCTGTATTCAAAAGAAGTTTGTTCGACCACTTTTATTACTGTGGCTGTCAACATGATGTAACTTCTAGGTTTATTTCGTACACCTCTTCCCGTTCTTGTTTCTATCAATATTCATTTGTTTTCTCATTATTACGCAATCGCTTGTTGTGAATGACTGAGCACTCATCAAAAGTGACTCCATTTACCTAAGAATAGCTTGCTTCATATTTCCGATTTTAGTAACTCCATTGATTATCTGCATCATTATTTCCGAAGCATCACTACGTGATTGGTAATTTGATCAAATTATAAAACTATACATTAGTGTAGAGCCGAAGATGAAGACCCAGTTGAAAAGGAATATATTTCTTCGCTGAATGTCTTTTCTTTTCTGAATGTCTAAATGGGAATATTCAATGTTTTCAAATCTTCTAAGCACCGAACTGCGTTGAAGATTTCCAATGAGTATCTGAAGTACAGCACAAGGCTCTGTGAAGTGAAGGTTACAATAAATTTCATCGACAAATGTGTTTTGACGAATTGTTGCCCTAAGAAATATATGAAATCTTTACTACGCTCCAAACTACGGTCCAATGCAAGAACACTGAAACGTTATGCTCTGAATCAGATTGACTCACTAAGATCTTATTCTGCTGAAATGCTGAAAAAATTTACAGAGATTTCATGCTGTAGAACAGCTTCCGAAAAATTTAAAGCAGGAATTTTTGAGTTATGTGGCAAATGTAGTCAATGCACGGAAACAAAACAAGCGCATTTAGTCACAAATCCTGAAAATCGTACATCAGAGATGAGGTTCGCGACTAACCCTGGTCAGTTTGTGCATAATTTTTCTAGTATCTATCTTGATGCTATGCAGTTAGAAGTTTTGTCACTTGGACCAAACTTTTGTGATAGTCGTAATACGATTAGCAAGATGAAAACGGAAATACAGTTTGAGGACATGTATACACAGACGAAAGGTTTGGTACCGTCATATAGTCATACTTCGTCATTCTTTGCTACTATCCACTACTCCCTGCACACTCAACGATATCAGGTGGTGAACGTACGCGTGCTCACTCCGCTCCAAAGACCATTCCACAACTTCTGTGGTGTTGAATTTAGTCTGACATCATCGCTCCTTCCTCGTAAACTCCCCTCGATTTTTTTGAAGTTCTCCAGCATTCTTACTGCGAGAAAGAACTCGCAGTAAGAATCCTGGAGAACGGTAGAAAAAACTTGCATAATACACTTATTCTTGAATACGTGATGGGATACCTCACCGGCACAAAGAATGGCGTTAGTTGACAAATACTATCATCTCACTAAGATGGGATCTAAAATCTTGAGAGGTCTTAAGTAAAGAGGAAAGTGAGTAAATTTTACAGTAAAATGTGATTTGAGGATTCGGATGAAGATAGCCTGTAGTCATATTTGTGCCATTGAAATCGATTCTGAGTCCTATTACCCAGGATCTCTAGTCAACGATTTCAGTCTGTGCCAAACCCAGCCTGGATTCTACGTTCTCTTTCATGGTCCGTCTTTAAATGTCGTCCAAGATAAACCATACTTTGGCTAACCTTGTGGGACTCGATAGACAATAACTAGATATGTCTAACATATATCCCAGACAACTGAGTCGATAACAGTTCACAATTTCCTTAATTGACTTCTTTTGCTCTAGATTCTATGCTTAACTCCTAGTTTACTAACTTAATGGTTTCTCAGTAAACGAACATTATTGCCAAGTTATGGTCGAACACCTCAACTCTTCTCATATCATTCACCTTTTGTGGCTGTTTCACAACCATCAGGTAGGACAGTGAACTGATGCGCAGTACATTTAATTTTTAGTAGGTAATCATCAGATATCATTTTGTCTGTCAGTTTTTAATCAGGTAAATACCACCACAAGTTAAGGGTGACCCAACCTAGTGTGTAGATCATTTGTTGTTAAATATTCGTCTAGATACACGAATTCCACATCACATTCGTTTGTTCGGAGTTACATTCTACCATGGTGTCCACGTTTTACGCTCATCTAAATATATGAATGATGAGACTAAACCATCAGTGACTACTTTGATTCCAACTCAGGCACTGGCGGATACTTCACTATCTGTAACGTCTGAACTTCACTTTTCTATACCTAGCTTTGGCATTTTCTGTTACAAAAACTGATTGTCAGCCTACGTGGTGGTCGTTGAATTTTGATGTGGATACCTACATATGTACATATTAAAATCATTCTGATTGCAAGACGTGCAAAAGCGGATAATTCTTTTTATTTTATGAACTGATACAGTCATATAGTGCATTCCTATTGGTGTTAAGTGGTCTTTTGAGGAAACTTAATAATTACTAAATGCATATCCATGCTACCGCCCATTTCATTGATTTCAATCGTTGATTTTGTTTTTTAGCTCAACCAATCGCGAGGAAATCTAGAGGTGAATTAATGAAGCTAGTTGACGTATCCTACTACGGAAATTGTGATGAAGATGATGGTGTAATTGTGCCACAAGAAGCCATTTATGAACAAGAAGGTAAATAGATTTTGCCATAGTTTCTTCCCTACAGCTATTGCTTGCAAAATCGCTGAATGGAAAGCCCGTAAAGCATCTAACTGTCAACCAGGATACGCTAGCAAGCAACCTGTTGGTGATGAATTTGATGAGCTGGATGAGGATAATGCTGATACCAGAAACATATACGATGTCGGCGATAATGTATGTAAATAGAATGTAGCAGTAATGAATATTGCTGTTTAGCATCCATTTATTTCGTACAAATAGTGTTTACAAACGCTTTATATCTAATGCTTGTTAATTACGTTACATTTTCAACTGATATTTTTAGTTCCTTTTATGAACAAGTCTCATGATTCGTTGAAAAGCTCATCCATTGGTCCTTAATTGCAACTTTGGTATCGAATTAGCGTTAAGAATGGCTTAGCACCTCTTAAGAATATGTGGGAAATCCTGCTACCTTTACCTAAAGTGAAAAAGAACTATAAAAATCGTATATAAAAGGAAGTTACACAATAGATTGTGCTGGAAACCACCTATTAAATAATACTTTCACTATACAGGATATTCAATAAACAATGGTATTATCCACAACAACAATACCGAGTTTCTACCCTTATAATCATCGTAACCAATGTTATTTTACTGGACATTTCTGCTCCGGTACTAAAAGTCGTGCTTCTTGTGACTGCTTCGTAAAAACAGTTTCTCATCAATAATTATTCAAAACCCACTATCTATCTAAAAGCTAGCCACTTAATTTTCCTTTATCTGACCATACTAATTTCTGTGCCAACCATAAATCTGATTTGATTCAGATACTTTGATGAACCAGTTTATTTCTTTTTGTATTGTACAGCCAGCTGATATAGAACTGATGCGCCTTTATGAAGCAATTAATGAAGATAACGAAGTTGGATCCATCGACTTTTCCAATGCTGAACAGTTAGTAGCATTGATAAATGATGATGAAGATGCAAACGAATTGGGTGACAGTGGAACGTCAGCGAGCAAATCTATGAGTTCTCTAAGCACTTCAGTGAAACGAGCATTTGTTGCCCACGTTCCAATCTACACACAAGATCAAGTAAGCCGAAAATTCTAAAATTCTTTGCACGTTTTTAGCAATACACTCTATTGTTGGATGTGAGTTGGACAAGGGTAATGTAGATAATACCATAGTGGGCTTTTGGAAGTTTAAGATCAGTACAGTTACTGTACATTATGTAACCTGGGTCGGTTTTTGTAACCTGACTTTCAGCAATCCTTTGAAGTTTTCTTTATCATGCTTATCATTGTTAAGTATTTATAAATCCTTGAAAAAGTCATGACGAAATTTATGTTGCATCTGGTACCAAAATAGTCGGAGTTTTGTATGGGTTAAATAAGTAGTTTTTGATGGCTAATTCGTAAAACGGACATGGACTCTTAATAATCATTTATCTTGACTTCTACGGTTTTTATTTTCGATCATGTCTTATTTACAGATTGAATCAGCATTGGTAGCCCAGCGTAAACGTGAAATCCTCGAGAAATACATGTCTAGTGATTTGTTAGCCAGCATGACACAAACTGGAGAAATCCTTGGCATTGAAGATAGTAGTGAGATGGACTCCACTTGTCAAGCTGTAAACGATGACCATCTATCAAAATCGACAATTTCTAATTCTAATGTTGATTTAGAAGAAGAAGAAGAGGAGGATGACTAAATCTTAAGTGTTTGAGCATATTTTTGTACAGATCTCAAATATATGAAAACTGCAATCAAAATTGTGCGCTTTCTCAGTTTTAACGCATTTAGTGATAACTTTATTGGGACGAAAAAGAATTTACCTCAACCTTGGGAGGAAACACTGTTTCAGTCGATTGTATTCTGGCTATATTGTGGTACTTCATAAAATCCTTTTACAACTAAGCTTGTGATGGCAACAATTCAGTCAGTATTAAGTTTGTGATAGGTTTCAGTATATTCAAATGTTCACTAGTGATTTATTCGAAACAAACTTGGTAAAGCATCGCACCAAGAAGTGCGCCATGCAGAATGGTACACCATCATTAGGAAAACATGAAATCGATACAGAGAGAAAGGTAAAAGTGGCCCAATATAAAAAATAGAAATGGATTATTAAAGAAGCAATCTCAAACATAAATTCAAAGAGGCTCTCATAACTTTCCATCTAATTTTCTGTAACCGAAAAACTGAAAGCCTCAGTACGGTCATCACTGGTTTCCATCAAAGGAGTAGTGAGGCATCGACAATTGCTTACCGAAAACAACTAAATTTCATCCTATGGTGCCATCTTGCATACTGACCAAGTCTCACAGATTCTTTCAACTAATCCCAAGGCTAGCAAGCAGTAAGTGGTGATATCGTTCACATATGCTACTTCTCAACGTCGCTTACCTAGTAGCAAACGTACGCGGGTACCTCCTTCAGAGCTATCTCGAGAACGTCATTGGTGTAAAAGAAGTCAGAGAGTTCTGTCTAATCGCTCTCTTAGCATAAAATACTTTTCTGTCAAACTTGGTAAAAGGAATAGATTTGAGAGTTTCTTCGAAGCGCCTACCACTACATAAAACATTGATTAGGTTGTAAATATCTTGGGTTTAATGTTTCAACAAGGTTAGAACTAATATCGCAGTGGGCGTTGCTGATCAGAATAGATATAAGTAGTATATGTTGAGAGGGCGGGAGAAATTATGAGCAATGGGCAAAGATTCTGCTCAGAGGAATGCAAGAGATAATGTGGGTGTATTAAGAGCAAATCAAGAAAGAAGCAGAAGAGGGAATGAAGCACACTGTGCAAAGGACTATCTCAGTGGAAAGCGTACAATATTTGATGATCACTGTGCAAGATGTCAACTATAAAAATTCCTTCCTTCGTCTCCGTCTTGTAGTTTTCTACAATATGACTGAGTGCTTCTAACTTCTTGTCATTGAATGGTGGTGCAGTCACTTTCATGAATTTTGAAAACCGTTACTCTAAGTAGAAAATACTTAGGAAAATTTGATGTATATTATAGCACACTTGGATCAGTCAATTTCCCTACAAAGGAGGAATAGATGACTGTAAAGGTGTTTTGATATACATGAGCACTCTCTGGGAATCAAAATATTTTATATTCCCCTGTCTTGACCGAAGATTGCCGCTCCTATGTTTTGCACAGTTGTCGTAAAGAATTCGATGCGTAAGTTGGTTTACTGTTGCAATCTAAGAAGACTTAACACATAACTTAGTGAAATGTAATTCATGTTTAAGTTGGTTGGTTAGTAAATAAATAAAATCTACTCAGTTTATGGATAATCCTTGTAATAAGTTAACCATACAGACTATATTGTTATGTATCACTTTCGTCGTTTTCCATTAACTTTTCGTCCTCAGTGAATAGGTTTTAGGATTTGTCCTCGTACGAACTTGACAGACGTATAGGCCATTCACTAATTATTCGTAATGTTATATGCCCACGGATACGAGACCAAGGAAGAACACAATAGCGTAGTCGGAAGGAATAGTATATTTGCGAGGCCGTGCCAAAATACCGATGCATTCCAGCTAACTGGTTAGAGGGTCGATTACAAGCAGTGCAACGTAACACAACAGCGTGCCAAACGGCGTGGATGCTTGACCGGGTACCTTCAGCTTAGCAAGTCCGATAAAACTATGAATGTTGAATCTCATCGAGCTCTAGGCTGTTGATTCTGGGAAAGTGTGTGACGCTACAAGGTTATAATTTGCTAATATGTAATATTTTGGCATTGTTTTGTTTTAAATATGGGACATCATGATCAGTTTTATCTACTAACTAAGAAATAAGTCACTTTTTGACTAAATGTAGTGTAGCTATTTTTCTCAGATAACTGATATTTAAATGTACAGTTTTCAGGAAAGGTGCTTATTAAGTAGCAAACTGAGAAAAAGGGAATATATTTCGTTCGGACTGAAAAGTGAATTTTGTAGTTGTTCAGACTAGCTATAAGTAATCTTATATGCAATCCAAATTTTGAGACATCAAAGGAGCATATTAGGATTACGAAAGATTGTTTCACCTACCAATAATGATTATGAGTGACGGGGAGTAAAATTAATGTATTCAGCAGTTCAAGAAAAACAAAAAGGTTATTCGTAACAGTGTGATGTTGCTTATTCGTCCAACCACTGGGTCATGGGTTCGAAACCCGCTACACCTACAAAGGTTTGAGCAGCCAGTTAGTATCATTAGCCATCACACAATAGGTGTGACTCATTGTCTACTGCATAAACGTGCATGCGATTTGTGAATGCCTTCAGATATTTTCCTGATTTATAAAAATGAGTTTATAGTGCAAGTCACTGTGTTTAAGTGGATTTCGAGTTGCTCTGCAGTTTCTTTTGTTCTGTCAGTACCACATAAAGCATTAAATGACGGATAATCCTCAAATGTAAAAATTAAGTTGCGACTAGAATAGACTGTACCATGTCTAGTCTCTAAACTAATTATTCCGATAGCCAGTGATTGTTGTTTTCAGTGAAGCATGAAATACAACTAATTTAAAAGTACCGTTAAAACCAGCAGCCTTACACTCATAGGTTTTGTCTTCGAGAATGTCAACAGTAGTCATAATGCAACAATTTCATTTCTGAAATATAGAATAGGGACTTATAGTAACAATGTTTTATTAACATAATCTAGCAAAAACAGGCAATATTGCAATTCTTTAGCTGCAACTCCATAGGTTTCACTGAAGGTGTATGACATTACATGAGGGTCGTGCTATGACGCGAACTGGGAAAAAATGTGGGCCATCGGATTCCAGCTCAGTGGTTCAACGCTTTATGATTGACGCTAAACATGAAGGTCCTGGATTCAATCCCCAGTGAGGTCATGGGTATCTACTGCTGAGGAGTTCCATAATAAGATGAAAGAGATGTTCAGTGCTCCGAAGTTCTCAATGATTCTCCAACTTATGTTAGTCTACGATGAATGCTAACTCGAAATTGGATGTACTAGACTAGAGTGCAACCTTATATAGACCAAATAAACAGTGATTACTCAAGAAAAGTGGGACCCATGTAAATGACTTGTAGGAATGCATCGTTTACGTTTCGGATACACAAATCTATGATCAAAACAAAATAAGTGACTGAACGATGAACAAAGCCTACTCATAAATGTAATTACACACGTAGGTTGGTATGTTAGATCTACGTTATGAAATAAATGTAAAACAATATAATTGACTAACAAACGTTAAAACCAGAGTCAACATTCCTCAAGACCAAGGAAGTCATCAAGCATTCGAGTCATCAGGAGATTCTTCAACCAACAACATACAACCAAAGCTGCATAATTTTCAAAGTGATATGAGATGTATGTGATAGGCAGTGACCTAAATAGAAATCATTCAAAGTTATTAGCAGCTAAGGTGGCAGTTTTGGATTCCAACATTTCTTTCATGTTATTGTGTGGTCAGGAAAAACTTTATCGGGCAATTTTGTCCTTCATTTGTCCAATCAAACGAAGTATCCTACTTCTGACCTAGTGGTTTTATTTGCTGATGAAAACTGTATGTAAATGAAGGATCATTTTTACAGTCACAGACCGGTCTTTGTCTTCTGATTTTCACGTCTCAGTGAAGTATAAGGTTCTGCGGGAGAACAGTCACTATCCATATCAAGTTCAATTATCTCATTGAGTTAGTAGTGTCCTCGTATTATTCTGTCAGTAACTTCAGTATATGACATAGATATTCACAAACCATCTGAGTTCTGTTCAGAAAATAACAAAACGTTCAGTTATTTAAATGACTTATTCTTAAGCTGTATACAGTAAGTACATTGTAGCTGTGATTCAGTTAGCAATGATAGATGCTAACCGTAAACATAAAAGTAGTCTGTACATACCTCAATAATTACAGCTACCATGAAGAATGTGTTCAAACATAAGATGAAAAGAATACAATCAATTTTCAGAATGTAAATAACAGAAGTCAGAGAAACAAAGATGTGAATATTTTGAATGGTAAGCTGTCAGACTATATAAACTCTCTGAACCTGAGAAACTTGAAAAGTCTTTCCTGAACGAGGACATGTTATTGTTCCATCTGGACGAGTTAACTCAGCTATTCCCTGTAGCGTAAAAAAGAAATTATTCATCAATAGTATATACAACTTTCACTATCAACAATATCTTTTCATACTGGGGCGATGATTGAAGGTGAAATGAAAATTTGGACCCCAGCTGGATTCGAACCAGCGACCACCGGGTTTCTGGCCCTATGCTCTAGCAACTGAGCTACGATGTCCGACTGATGACCACATTTTTATTTCACTCCAATCACTAATCACATGGTAGTCGGGCAAAACCCAAGGTGATTGGAGTGAAATAAAAATCTAACCAGGAGTCGCACCTCATAGCTCAGTTAGTAGAGCACCGGGCCGTCAACCCGGTGGTCGCTGGCTCGAATTTGGCCGCGGTCCAGATTTTTATCTCACCCTCATCAACCAAACTACAGCCATCTCAGACAGTCAAATGATAATCAACATTTTTTCATGAAAAAGAGAGCCTAAGTTTGATAAGGTACTTCGCATAAGTTCATTATTCTGCATAATGACCCATTGACCAGTCATCATCACTGGAGAGGAGCCAGTAATGAGTGTTAACCGAATTCTGTGGGTCATTTTACAATGTAGTCACCAAGCTAGGAGCCTCATTATCACGATCTGCTTTGTTGAATGTTAGTTAATTAGAAGTAATCAGCAAGAATCCCTGCTCAAGCCAACAGTAAGAGACTTCATTGACTGGTGCCACGTCTTGGTTTGGCCACCTTTAACCCTCTTCCAACGCAAGCCAACTTCCCCTACAATGGCACGTTGAGAAAGGAAGAGGCTGGACATGTGAAGTACATATTTAAACCAATTCAGTTGACTAAGGTTCACGACCTCATCAATCGACTTTCCTGTCTTCCCTAGTACCTTTCGCATGACCTCAACATTGTTCATACAATGATTCCACCAAACACGAGGATTGCTACGAAGATATCAGTGATCAAAACCTTCGTCTCTTCGGCTGTTAACGGCGACAAATGTATAACAGGGCAAAACGAATTGTAGCACAGTATACTCGTCCTTTGACAGATAGTTGGATATTTCGTCCGCCTCACAGATGACGCAATACTGAGAAGATATTGTGTTGAAGATGATTACTTGTTCCAAACAGAGTACATTTCGTAAATGTCCGGTGCAAATGCCTTTCAGATGGGCATATTAAAAGCGGAAGAATAACCAATTAGAAACTTACATCATATGTATATATATATATATATATATATATATATATATATATATATATACATATCATATAGTAGAAGAAGCATCGCACAGGATATACAGGTAATTTTTACAGAAGCAAAAAGTAACTATTATCGGGGGTTTAATGTTGCCAACAGGTAATTGCACCGATCTGAACATTTACTATTAATATAATACTCTATTTTCATGCTATTACGAAGTGTGGCAACAAAAAATGATCCATTTTTACGCAAGGCTCTACTTTAATACCCAATTGTTAAAAGTAGAACAGTATTGAGGAAGATGAGACCTGTTTACGGTTTCCTTCACTTACCTTATGATACAGTCCAGTATCACAATCGATATTAAATGTTTATGTCGTGAACAGTATGACTGGATTATAAATTACAGACTAAGTATCCAAGATATAAAGTTGAATGAATTACCTTCTGACTATAAACATAACCATTTGGCAGAGACATAGGGGGGTTGTCATCATTCATAGGAAGACCAGTTTTATAACATGTTAATATAGAATGGTCATGACGAGCGAAAGGTAGATTAACTGCCAATTTATTAATTAACGGATGGCAAACAGCACAGTCTCTGTGTTGAGTATTCGGATTGTAACAGTAACTTAATGTACAAAATAGTTTGAGTTAAGGATATGAAACACAGTGCTTGCACTTAGTAGAATAACAGTGACAAACGTCAAGAGAATATACAATGAAGACTCTTAAACCTAGTACATTATTTGAACGTACGCCCGTTATTGTTTAACAATAACGGGTTGGACGTCGCGATAACACAAGTAAAATACACCTCATACGATGAATAGTACAGTATAACTAGTGTATCACATTGCTCACTACACTGGACAGTATACCAGCTTGTTTAGTCAGAGTGGTCGAGTTTGTCTGTGAACATCATTGATACGAATTCACAAATAAATGTTAGCTGTTACCAATACAAAAACTATTACTGGGTATACTGATAAAGTTATATACAACGATTATGCTCAAAAAATAGATATCGATTTTGAGAAAAAAGGATACTGTGTCTTGATTGCTGTGATACCAGCATTCACAGCCAGCTGAAATGGAGTGTAAACGCTGTAAGCATAAAATTCCATAAGCACTTCATGAGTTCTTTTAACTATCCATTTTTCAGTCAACTTGTTTTGATCCTGAAAGTGAAAATATAAATTTGAGAAAATTTATAAATCAAGTACTTGGAAGTATCAGATATCTGTTGTGTGGTTTGAAGATGTTCCTGTACTGAAATAACTATGTGTATAAATCGTAAACAGCGTGACAGACAGAAAAATCACATACAACTTGGGACAGAAATGCAAGATGCCTCCCTTCACAGCAGAACCAAAAATGCCTCAGTGGACTCGAACCCAGTACACTTGTCACTTAATAAATACAGAGGATATCTCACTGGCAACGAAAATAGCATAAATTAGGAAATGAAGAAAAGGCTTTTCGTATCCCAGTTGCGGTTTTGTCAGCAACCAGACCCTGCAGGAGCTAAGTCAGTTTCCACCTAAAATTAAACCCATTGGTACGTCTATACCAATAAGAAACAGGAATCACGATAGTGAAAATCCATGTCGGACATGACTGGCTGTCATTATTTCATATGATAACTCTCCACTTAGCTCTCATATAGCTGCCTGAGTTTGAGTAGACAGCCTTGGTTAGCGCCATGTTTTTTATCATTATTATTTGTCCCTTGGGTTCCTAATGGAACATAGGGCTTCAGTAGCACGTCTCCAATGTGCTCTGTTCTCTGAAATCTTTTGAACTTGGCTCCACGACAGCCCACAAGCTCTCATTTCCTCCTCGCACGATCTCCTCCAAGTCACCCTCGGACGCCCAACTCGTCGCTTCCCATCGGGGTTTCACTCGAGGGCCTGACGCGTGATGTCCCCAGTCGGCGCTGTGTAATTGCTCGATACTCCTTTTATAATCAGACAACACCTATCAATCGACAGAGTTAAATGCGGCTTCCAGGTCAGGCCATATAAAAAGTGTCGGTCGTCGGCAAGTATGCCAATGTTCCAGAACCTGTCGAACGGTGAAGATTTCTTCGATGTACCGTCATCCAGATGTGAAACCTATTTGGTCTTCTCTAGTGTGTTGTTCTCCAGCTCCAGCTAGGCCTTGGATATATATGGACCCAAGAATATTGGACACGATGTTAGTCAAACGGATTCTCCAATGGTTTTCAAACGAAGACTTTCTCTGCTTATAGACTGGAATGATCAATGAAGTAGATCAGTCTGATAAAATTACCGGAGAGGTGGCTAGTTGGTTTAGGCAACTGAGTGCATAGTCGAATCCCACTTCACCTACCAAGGTCAGGACAGCCAGGTGGTATCACTAGCCCTCACATAAGTGTGGTCCATTGCCTACTGCACGGATGTCCACAAGGTTACTGAGTGCATTTCGACTTCGAGACTACCTTTGATTCTCATGCAATACCTGGTATCTCTGTCATTTTACTCAGTAATTCATTACCTCCATCCTTAAGATTTTCGCGTGGCAAACCATCAAGTTCTGCCGCTTCGCATCGTCCCAGCTTTAAAACAGCCTTCGCAACTTCCGGGAGATTTGGAAAACCGACATCTACATCCCATTTATGTTAAGGTTGAATCCTGGGCAACTGGAGCGCTGTTGTGGGTCAGTTCAGCTGTGGGCTTTAAAGTGTTCTGCCTAACTTTCGAACAACCTGTCCGGAAACGTTATCAATATCCCATGACTTTCAGCGATACCCCAGCAACCATGGTCTCTTTCTTGCTGCTCTTCTTAATAAGCCTAAATAACTCCCGGGTATTATCTAACGCTGGTGCCTTTTCCATCTCTTTCGCTCTCGACACCCACAACTGCTCTTAGTTATTGCGGAGACTCAGTCAATTTACTTTTCAGTTGCTTTTAATCCCCGATATGACCAGAGTCAGATGAAATGAATCTTCGTGCATGAATCAGTTTGGATGAAGATGCGGAAATCGACTGCACATTGTTAAATTTCGGATGTAGGTTGCCTATTGCCTTTATTGTCTCTCCAGCAGACTGAATATTACGCCAGGCTTCATTAGGAAGAGAATCGTTGCCATCTTCAGTTGAATGCTCGGCTATCCCCTGCCTAAATACACACTATGCCTTACCATCTTTCAGGTAATCTCAGAAAGACTTAACTGCTGCCTATTTCCTATGCCCATTACGATTCAAACTTAAACACGTCCAGACTGATGTATGATCGGAGTGCCACCACGTGCCCCGAAAACAGCGGTAGTCTTCCATCGATGGCTTATATGATCTATTCGCAAATACTGTTGACGATTTGTAGTATCATGGATTATTATTCAAAGGTACAATATTGATGATTGTTCGTACATGTGTATATCAACGAAATGAACTGATCACCAGCAAATCGTTTTTTCTGAGGAACATTCGTTTATCTCTATGTTACCAGCACAATTGCATTTCTCAAGTATAAGTGATTGAAGTCAAGCCGAAACCTGGTAAGTAGATGGGTCTCGTAGCTCAGTTGGTAAAGCGCCAGGCCGGTAACTCAAAGACTGCTACTTCGAATCACTATACAACCCAGGTTTACATCTTACCTTCAATCATCAGTCGGTATAAATAAAATCAGCCTTCCAAATCACAGTTATCTCAGATAGTCTCAATGATAAGTAGGAAGAACAGTACACAAAGATAAACTTATTCTTTAAGTTCACACAAAGCAGGAAGGAAAGTTATTTTTCTGTCAACACATATTGCATTTATACAACACTGATGCACTTCAAAGTAAAAAAAATATGCATAAGAATCTACACTATCTCATGACGAGAGTGACAGCTTATGGCGTTAACATTTTTTTGCTTTTATATACCTCAATCGCAAAAGTATAGACAAAAATTGAGTTCAGTACTTTCTTCAACAGAATATACCATATGAATGTCAAAAAAGATATGGTTATTTTATTATTCAAACCAAGATATTGTTGGTGATCGCCTCGCCTTGGCATAGTGACGAACTAAGGATAGATATTTTCACTTGGCTTTCTATGAATTATCACATAAAGAGACGTTATTGCTAGGAGAACGCTTGATGAGTCATGCGTGAATACGAGAGAACTTTGATGAGAATATCTCATGGGTGGTGTCATGTAGCTGTTTTTTTACTCAAAATATAAACCAATGCATTGTCCATCAGTAGAGCTGTGGCTCACTGGTTAAGGGAGATGACTTTCAACCGATGGATCATTGTTTTGAGCCCCGCCAACCGAGGTATGGGCAACCAGGTAGTATCACTAGCCTTCATACAATAGGTGTGGTCCACTGCCTACTGTACGAGTGTGTACAAGGTTGTTGAGGGCATTTCGACTCTTCAGTAGAGGTCACCTGAAATACTGATAGTAAATTTTTAACCGTATTGTTATCAGCATAGAATTTCAAAGCGCTAATGTTTTAAATATTTTCTTTAAGCTAGTTAGTTTGAAATAATTTTTAGTTAAATTGATTGTTGGTCGACAAACAGTAGGCAGTTAACCATCACGTTATTTTTTCTAATGGAATGTGAAACTCGAGCATGTAATACTGTTGGGAAACAAGTTAGTTTAACAACCTAACTGAAAGATATTTGCGAGTTAGACAATTATGTTATTCAACCAGACAAGAAATATACCCTACAGTTGTAAATCCAGAGACTTACTTGTTCATGAAAAATAATCTAGAAGTATTTTGTTTTCGTAAACTACAGGCAGTCTAACTATTCCACTTTCGGAAGCAACAATATGTACTTTTTCACTAAACTAGACATAAGGAGCACTGCGTTAGTTTGAGAATGTAACACTACTCTTGTCTTTGTCAGCCAGTACATGGTGGTTTGTCTTATCTCTTATACCTTTATTACAAGCATTAGCAGATAATCTTTGTGATATGAGGATAGATACAATGCCTAGTCTAGAGACGGACCAATCAGAATGTATTTTATGTTATCATGTCTACAATTAGACAGACAAGCGGTGGATCAGTCAATCAATAGGATAGTTTTAAACAGCGAACTATGTATATATTAGCTATATTTTCCTTTGCAACGCTATGCAACATCATAGAACAGAGTATAGAATGGCAATCAACTCTCTACATCAACTTTATCAACTTTGAAAAAGCCTTCGATAGCGTCGACCGAAAAGTAATTTGGAAACTCCTTCAACACTACGGAGTACCACAAACCCTTATCAACCTCATTCAACAGCTGTATGAAGACGCCACATGCCAAGTGATTCACAATGGAAAGCTCAGTGATGCCTTTGAAGTGAAGACAGGAAGCAGTAAGACAAGGCTGCCCACTATCACCGATCATCTTCCTAATTGTGGTCGACTGGATCATGCAACAAACTGTGAGGAGCAAGAAGATTGGCATACACTGACTGGACCGATGAAAAGACCTAAGAAGATTTGGATTTCACTGATGATTTTTGTCTAATATCGCATAAGCTTGAGGATCTACAGGCGAAAACCAGAAGAGGCAGCGAAGACGGGACAAGTGAACGTGAATGTACAAAAGACAAAGGTGATGAAGATACCCAACCACCACCATCACCAACAACAACAAGCATCAATCACCATCAACGGGAGAAATCTAAAGGGAGTAGTCTCTTCCACCTACCTAGGCAGCATCGTTTCAACTACAGGCGGTACAGACGAGGATCTCAAAACCAGGATCGGAAAAGCATGACAGGCTTTTATTAATCTGAAATTAGTGTGGAGACCTACTGCACTCAGCACAAAGCGTGAACAACATCCGGATTTTCAACACCAATGTCAAGTCAGTGCTTCTGTATGGTTAAGAAACTTGGCGTGTCACGAAAAGCATTTCCAACAAACTACAGACATTCATCAACAGCTGCCGCTACGCTGGCTCAATACTGAAGATCAGATGGCCAGAAAGAATAAGCAACAAGGAACTTACTCTGGCAACGAACCAACCAAGAACCTATCACCCAACAAATATGCAGAAGAAAGTGGGGATGGATTGGGTATACACTGAGAAGGCCGATTGGGGATATCACGCGCCAGGCTCTCGAGTGGGATCCAAAGAGGAAACGACTAGCTGGGCGTCCGAGGCGAGGGTGACATGGAGATCAAGTGAGGAAGAAATGAGAGTTTCTGGGCAGTCGTGGGGCCAGGTTGAAAAGACTGCAGCGAAGAGAGTGAAATTGAGACGTGCTACTGAAGCCCTATGTTCCACTAGGAACCCAGGGGAAAAATAAATAATATTTTCCTTTGTTTTTGGTCTTCGATCTTTCGACCCACGTTACTACACATCCATCGTGTCTTCTCCATTAATTAGTCAGGTCGGGAATCAACTAACAATTTGTTGAAAGTTGGCGGGTGACACTCGATGTCCGTGCATCGTTAGCAGTCAAGGCACGTACCAGTTTATAAATCATAACACTGATACGCATTTCTAGTTCCAGGTTTTTTTGTGCGAACCGAAATAGAAAAGCTTACAGATTGATAGTTAGGTTCTCGTTCAGAAGCTGATTGTTTGTTTTTACTAGTCAGCATGTAAAACAAAATTGTTTTTGTGTGTATGAACAGATTAAATGGTGTTAAATGAAATATATTTGTAAGACCGCATTGAGATAGAGAAATAAATCTCTAACGTCTCGTGACCTCGTGGAAATCACTTCGTCAGAGAATAGGCTTGTTTAGACTTCGACATGCTCTAATCTGCTTACGCTTCCTTAAATGTAAGTCAGTAGCAGAATACAAGTGTATGTAGTAGACCATGAAGTAAACCTATTGCACCAGGCTTAGTGACGCCGTCAGATTTCCTGAATTTCAGTAGGCGAAACAGGGTTCGAACGAGCGACTTACTGGTTAAATCAATGAACCATAGCTATTTTGTTATGTAAATAAAGTGAAAATTGTCAGAAAAAAAATCTAGAAATAACTTTTTGCAGGTAAAGTCAACTTTATTTTTTTTAAAAGCTACTTAACTGAAATCTATTAGCAACTTAAATGTTCACTTAGTTAAATTTAAGAAATCACTGAGATATATGGCCATGCGATAATAGAGATTTTTATCTCAGAGTGATAACTGTTTGGTATATCCTGAGATTTGATTTTTGTTAATGGACGTTTCATCACCAGGTTAAGCGACTTCATCAGCATTTACTTCATAAAGTGATCATGTTTTATAGAAATTTTTTTCCCCGTTTCACAATACTTCAGGTGTATCTTGTACTAATTTTATACTATATGAGCTATAGCAGTGTTCATTTTAACAATTATTACTACCAATAAAAGAATAGGACTAACTAGCATGATACAAAAATATCAACTTACTGCCTTGTCTTGGAGCTCTTCAGGGGTACGCATCGCCAACAAAATCATCGCTTGACCAAGTTTGTTGGCACGGTAGTCATCAGCTTGTTTTACTGAACTCATATATTTCCTAGCATGTCTAAAAAAAATAGATAATCACGAATTTAAGTTGATACAAACTTATTTCAGTTAAGTAGCGAGGTTACGTAACGGTTAAGTCGATCATAACACCAGAAGATTAACTTATCGTGAATACACAGACATATTACATAAGAGTGTAAACAATATCTGTTGTGTGAACGAGAGAAATATTATTTAACAACAACTTGGTATCAAGTAAATATACCGTATCACTGTGTGCTATATGAACAGAACTCAAAATAAGGGGGGGGGAATACAGGGACGAACAGTAACTTGATTAGAACATCACATATACCAGCTAAATACTGACAAAATATTGGGAACATAAGTAAATAAACATGTGTTTTTACAATGCGAGTAAACTAGAGAAAATAAACACTTTTCCAACAAATATCCTTTAATATGATCAGTTTAAGATAGATTTGAATATCAACTGCTTTTACACAAAAATTATTCAATTTATGCCATCATTTTGAGCTTAACAGCATCATATGTAATCAAGTTAGTGACAACTCAGCACAATACATGTTTTAATTACGCATCTATCAGCAACATACAATGACATCCGAATGAATACTTGTAAAGTTATTCATGCAAGGTAATAAGAATAATGATGAAGATAGTCATTCATTATAGTAATAGTAATGTGGGAAACGACAAGACGGAGAGGAAGGATGGAATGTTCATTACTACGCCCAACAATAGCTGTACTTTTCAACTTGAAGGTGACATTTGACTCTGTTGATCAAGAAGTTTTATGGCAATGTATCTTACTGAAAGGCGTGTTGAGTAAGTACGTCACCTTATTGAAGGCTCTCTACTCGAATACTTGTGGGTGTGTTAGCGCCTATGGTGAGATGTCCAGAGAGCTGTACTCGTCAAGTGGTGTCCGTCAAGAGTGTCCACTCTCTCCATTCTTATTCAACTTTATCGTAGATATTCTTATGGAGGTCTCCCTCTCATCACTTGATTACACAGACGTTGACCTAATCTCAGAAGAATTTTAATTAGACCTAGAATATGCAGATGACATAGTCCGGTTAGGTGAAGACGCTGACAAGATGCAAAGTCTTCTGAACACAGTGGAAATTAGAGAATGTTTGGGATGCGTTTCTCACCACCCAAATGCAAACTGTTGCTCCAGGATTAGTCTTCAACAGTGCCACGGCTAACAATAGAGTGTAGTGGTTGAGTGTGTCAACCACTTCACTTACGTGGGAAGTAGGATCAGCTCTAGTGGCTCAGTGACCGATGAAATTTCCGCACGAATACAAAAGGCTCGGCTGGCTTTTGTCAGCTTACGCCACCTGTGGCGCCACCGCGGTGATATCCGATTGTCTACTCAAGGTTGCGTATACTGCACAGCAGCCCGGTCTGTTCTACTGTATGGCTGTGAAACATGGCCACTGAAGGTGAAAGAAATGAGAAGGCCTCAGGTGTTGGGCCACCGTTGCCTCTATAGTATAGGCCATATTCCGTGGTGTCACCACGTGAGTAACGCAGACGTCAGGTGGAGGGTTTTATGGAAAAGAGGTAAGTCAGTTGACGAGGTTGTGAACCTTCACCGACTGAGATGGTCGGGATATGTGTTACGTATACCTAGTCGCCGTTTGCCTCATCACACAATATTGGCCGAAGTAGGTTCAAGATGGAAAACGGCTCTTGGCTCTTGGCCAAACTAAAACATGGCATCAATGTATGAAGTCTCTGACTGTTGGTTTGAGCCATGTGGAGCGATGCAGACTAGCCGGTTAGGTCCGCGAGACAAGAGGAACTAGTGGTTGGAGACTGACTCTAGGTGATATGGCTCAGAATCGGTCAGTGGTGCAGACGTATACACATATTATCCTCATCTTAACGCTTTACCGGATCTCATCATTTTCTCATTTTTTCTTTCTCTCTTTTCGTACTTTATGTTTCTTTTGAGTGAGTTTTCTTCTCTTCGTCTTCCACTTCACTTTCTCTTTACTTGATGTATTGATATGAGCTGTGGCAACTCGAACCGTCACGCAGTAATGTCTGGTCCTATGTTGATATGGAGGAATGGATATTTACTATTGACATCTTGTACAGTAGTCATCAAATATTGTACATTTTCCACTAAGATAGTCCTTTGTACAATGTGCTTCATTCCCTCTTCTGCTTCTATCTTGATTTGCTCTTAATACACTCACATTGTCTCTTGCGTTTTCCTGGTCAGAATATTTACCCACTGTTGGTAACTGCCTATGATTTCTGCTGCGCTGTCCCAACACATACTACTTATATCTATTCTGATCAGCAGCGTCCACTACAATAACTTGTAGTTTGCAACCGTTTCATAACATATGATTATTAACAGTACAAATAACTGAGGTTAATTCAAAGAATTATCATTCTAGAAGTTAATTATGGCTTATAATATCATTTAACTTCAATCAACTGATAAAACTTGAGCAATAAGCGTTTATGCACCCTTTAGAAATAGAATTTAGTCTTCTTAAGCCTGATACATGGCAATCTGACATAATAAGAAATACCTCAATAATCAGTATTTTCAACTTCTATTAACATAAATTATAGCATCGCTTAACTTCAAATAGACTAAGCATCAATACTATCACAAAGCATATCTTCATCAATTCACAGAATATTTTTTTTAAAAAGCTTTTAGTTCAGTGATTATGGATATTTAGGAATTAAGTTCATACTGAAACGATTCACTCTTTGTCATTTCAACTTATTGGTAGAAAAACCTAAGAGTTTACAATAAAATGTGAGTAAATTTATTTGGACTAAGAGAGTTCATGAATGAATTAACAAGCAAGACACTATGGTTTCAATTGCTTTGAGTAATACATTTAAGAATCAACTAAACTTACAAGAGTAAACCCCACATCAATCTAAATAATTTCATTGTTACATCGTTTATTCCTTTTTCACCATATTATACATTACTTCCTTGAAATGACATAATTACTTTCACTTCTTTATCGTTCTATCCTTCGTTTCTCTTTATTTTACATATATGAAGTGTAGGAATATGAAGTAAAACGTGATTGTCACCAGCCAATATACTGTTTCTGACAAATTGAATCTGTTAAGTACCCAATAATTTTCAAGGAATAATTTCAATAGCCTAGCAATATATAATCCTAGTTATCACTAATTTTTAACAAGCATTTAGTTTTGTGATGAGTATGATTATCAAAGATAACAGCGTAAATGTTGAAAGATAATGCTTAACTAATATATACTATAATAAAGCATTGAAGTAAGCAATTACAATCAAAAACTTACTGAATAGCATCGATTCGTTTCCCTTGTTTGACGAGTAGATAAAATTCGAATACGCGAAGATCAAATTCATAATATGACTACGTAAAAAGAAGTTATTGCAAAATAAAACCATATAAAAAAGTATAACGTTATAACGCTTCACATTCGAAAAACAGCACAGCAGGAAGACTGATTCAAAAGACAAATCATATACGCATGAACACAAACGGTTAAAACCGATTTCTAAATGTTGATATGTGCGCTGTATACTAAAAGCATAGGGAAATAACCAAAGTGAGATTTGCAAAAGAAAGTGGTAGTTGTTAATTTCAGCGTCTACTTTACATGAGTTAACCTATGTGACGGTTGACACAACTATTCATTCATAATGTACCTAAGATCCTGAAACACAAGACAGTGACATTCAGAAAGCTCTTTCATTAAGTTGATGCTCCTTTTATCTTCAGTGGTCAATATTACTACTGTCTTGGACTATCAAATTTCCGGCTCTAATACCCATACTGGGTAAACAACACAAAATGTAAACGGAGTGCATAACACACAGGTCTATACTTACTTATGAAACTCAACATAAGAATTTTAGTGGGTTCAAACCAGCATCTGTACAGTAGTTTGCAACTAATCAACTGATAGGGCTTAAAGTTTCGTAAAAATGAGATTCCCAGATGTTCGACTATAATCCAACCGAAAGTGGAGCAATGAGTGATTGACTTAAGTAAGTGAACTTCAAGAACCAGGCCACGAGTTCCAACCTCCATTATATCAAATGACAGTAACACAATCGGCAGTCATGGACAAGTAAGACAGCAGGAAGGAGCTTGATTGCCAAAATCAACAAAGAACCTCGAAAACAAACAGGTATTCACTCAAACACATAGGTATCACACTAGTACACAGAGAACAAGTGGATAGAAAAAGAGTGATATCAAAGTGGACGAATTTGTGTGATAATAAACAATCTGAAGAAAAAGCCTAGTGCCAATATTCAAGTTTTAGAAGACGTCAAAGAGAGAATACATCTGCGTCACCGGGACCGATTTCCAGCAATGTCATCAAGACTCCTCAACCACCAACTCCTTTCATCTCGAGGACCCCAACCAGGCAGTCCACATCTCCAAAGACGGCTCAGGCCAATAGGAAGAGGACTCCATCAATTGAGGCCAGATCTTCGTCTTGTCACCCTTAACCCTCCTCCAACCCAATCCAACTTCCCCTACCATGAAACGTCAAAGTAGGCAGTGGCTCGACACACGCGGTACATATATCCAAACCATCTCACTTAACTAAGGTTCACAACCTCATCAATCGACTTGCCTTTCTTCTCTAGTACAATTCCCCTCACCCCCAAAACATTGTTCACACAGTGACTCAACCAAACGCAACCACTGTTACGAATACACCTTCGATCGAAACCATGTTACCCCTCCATGTCTTAAACTTCTAACGGTCATATCTCACACCCGTACAACAGGACACAACAAACCACAGCACAGTATACTCATCCCTTGGTAGATTGTCGGATATCTCGCCAGTCGACGTCACAGGTGACGCAAGTTCGCAAATGTTAAACAAGCCTTCTGTATCCGAACTGAGATTTCATCAGCAACCAACCCGTTCCGGTTGATGCAACTCCTCCAACTAAGTGAAGTGGTTGACACATTCCACCACTTCACTCCCTGCCCATCATCCAATCAGGAGTGCTTGCACATTGCCAGTCTTGCAGCATCACATTACATTCGACAGGTGCCAGCAAAACGCATGCCAAACATACACAGATTTCTGCTCAACGAGTTCAAAATACCCTACATTTTGTCACCCTATTCACCCAGCAGGACAATATCGTCTGCATTCTCCAAGTCAATCAGATCACCTCCAGAGAGTAGATCAACCTCTGTAAAGTCAGACGCACCCAAGGTTATGTCCATCAGTACGTCTATGACTAAGTCAGGTAGAAACGGTGACAGTGGACATCCCTGGTGGACACCACTAGTTGTCGTCAATTCACATGACAAATCTCCAGGAGCCCTTACACGGTTACCTGAATTACGGTAGAGAGCTTTCATCAGCATTATATACATCCTCGGTAATCCCTTCATAGTCAGACACTGCCATAACACCTCACGGTCGACCGAATCAAGTGCTGTCTTCAAGTTAACAAATATGGCAAGTGTCAGTCACTGACCAGTAGGTATCCGTGCGTTCCAGAAACTGTCGAAGAGTGAAAACATGACCGATGCACTCTCGTCCATGACTGAAACCTAGTTTTTTTGTCATCTCCAGCTCCAGGTTCACATCAAATATCTATGACAAGATACTATTCAAACTAATTCCCCTACGCTTATCGCAAAACTCCTACAATTCTTATACACTAGGATGATCAGTAAAGTAAACTAGTGTGACGAGAGTGACTCTGATTCCCATACACTACGCAATACCTTCGTCAATCTAATCAACAATATCCCACAGGCATCCTTGAAAACTCCAGGTGCCAAACTGTCAGCTCCTGCTGCTGCTTTGCATCGTTTCAAGTTCCTTACAGCTTTCTCAACTTCAAAGAGAGTTGGAAGACCATGTTGGGCAACTGGAGTGTTGCTGAGGGCCAACTGAACTGGGTTTTAATTTGTTCTGCCCGACGTCTTAGCCCCCTCTCCTGGGAGATTATTAGCATCTCGTCCTTCTCGCTGATAGTAATATTCACCATCGTCTTCTTCTTGCCGATATCCTTAATAAGCCTAAATAGTTACCAAGTCTCACCTAACGCTGATGTCTTTCCTTTGCCACATCTCTCATTTTCGTCACCCGCCACTGTTCGTGATCGACGCCAAGACTCTTGACCAACTCACGTTTACGTTGTTCTCGTTCCTCGTTGTGATCTGAGCCACTTGGAATCAATCTTCTCGTAACAATCAGTTCGGATGACGTCGCGGAAATCCAATAACGTTTGCGAACCTGCATGTGTAGGTCACAAATTGTCTTCACCACTGTTTATACAGCAGACTTGATATCACGCCAGATCTCCTCAGCATGAGCATTGCTGTCATGTTCACAGCCGCCTGCTTCGTGCAACCAGTAGGATACGCATATACATGAACACGTACTAACACATGATCAAAGGCCAAACTGGTACTCCAGAAAGAGCAACAATCCTCCACCGATTCTTTCCAACATTGGCTGCTATCAATGTGATCTATCTGTGTCCATGGTTGGTATGAAACCGACGGACGCCATGTCAGACTATTTCTCCTTACGTCTAAAGTTGATCCTGACCAGAAACAAGTGATTTTATGAACAAAATTGCACGAGACGATCACCATTATCAGTTCGTTGGCATGGAATTCCGTAAATTCAACGAAAATACCTCTTCCGTTGGCTCAGCTTCCCTACTTGCGCGTCAAAGTCATATGCCATTATGACTGCATCTGAGCGTTTAACTTTCTCCAGTAAAGTTGACGGTCTTCAAAGAACTCATCCTTCGCATCATTCAAACTACAGTCAGTGGAGGCGTATGCAGAGATTACGAATAGGCATCGTCTGATTTCACAATCCTTCCTAGACCTCACAGATCCATTCAGTCGAACAGCACACAACCGCTTATCTCCTGCTTTTCAGTCGAGAAGCACACTTTCGGGTCTACAACTCACTGCTATGCCTACACCAGAGGGTCTACGAGGGTTACCCATTGGGTCTCCGGATATTCGCAAGGGGAATTAAGAAGATTGACTATTATGATCAGGTGAGGTCAATTTAATAACCACTCCAGTTCTGTATGCGTGTCTCAAAAACAGCATACATTTATGGCTAGAGATTCAATAGTTCTGGTGAGCAATGCTTGCTGTCCGATTCGGCATAGAGCTCGGACGTTGAAAGCTCCTACATGAAATCGATAGTGGGGGCTTAGGAGACTTCGAATGAAGTTCCCATGGCTTTGATCTTTGATAATGGTTGCAACGTCAGCGGTTGGGTAAGGCTTAAGAGGCTTAATATTAGTACCAGGAGGTGAAGGCAAAGGAGGAGACAGGGTTGAGGAGGATAGGTTGTTTGATTGGGTAGTTCATACTTCCCAACTGTTCACATCATGGAGGGCTATTTCTCCTTAAGGTACCCCAAAGAGTAGACGATTTGCGTAACTGCAGGGCACATGGGACATCTGCTTCAGGCTTGTCATAGACAGCCTTTTGTGGGTTATTGTTTCAAGGTTTGGTTGTTCTAACGCCGGATAGAAAAAACCCATACTTCCAGCCCCGCGAGACTGTGGGGCTGGATGGTATGTTACTTCTGGGGCCGACCTCTTCGAACCCGACTTCTTACCGCTGCAAAGACAGCATCAGAGTGGCACTGCTGATCATTCAAGGAAAACACCTTACTTCTGCCACACTCCATCAGCTAGCAGCAATACAACTTTGCCCTCAGACTCCAATTATGGTGTAGTAGTTTACGCTACAATGGTAACTGCTATTCGCTTTACCATGATCCAATAGACCTTTTTGGCGTGGCGGAACCACGAGGGAACAAGCGTTCCACTAGCAAAGCTCGTCGAGTGCTTGTGTTATGCGAGCTCACGTCAACGTAGCAGCTATTGGGTGGGCAGCAAGAAGGCTCAGAATTTACTCAAGGACGAGAACGTGTATCACCCACTTGAAATTACCCGTATCAATAAGTTTAACAACAAGATCAAAACGCTGAACAAACTTGTCACAGCAAGAGGAAGAGCTATACAAAGCAGCGGAAAACGGTATCAAATGAACCTGTTTTCCCCAAAGTTCACAAAAAAGAATTTTCCTGTAACCAACAGTTTCACTTCAAGGTACCTGAATGTACCCGAGATTCTTCGAGGAAACTGAAATATTTTATGAGGTCATAAGAATATCTTATCAAATCGCCTACAGAATAATGAAAACAAATTAACGGCATAGTAACAAACAACGACGAGCAAATGGTATCCTTCGACGGCACAGCATTAGACGCATCAACCGAACTATATCTGGCTAAAAATACCATCTCTTCTCCCCACTCACGATACAAGGCTTTCGAAACACGGAGCTGTGGTTTATTGGATCATTTAGTCGACTTTCAACCAAAAGGTCACGAGTTCGAACACTGCTTCACCTACCGATGTAGAAATCCAAACAGCATCATCAACTTGAAGTCTATTCAGTGGCTGACAGTGAAGCCCAGGATGCGCGTTTTGTCCTATTTGGAGTTCGTCAGCCGAACGCACCTCCACCACACTGGGACTTGAATCCAGTATCAATCACCCAAACCCACGAATGTCACCCACTGGGGCACGAGAGCCACCAATTGTGCAACACGTATCAGTTGTTTATTGATACTCGTAATTTCCCGTTGTTAGACTGGGCCGAATTGCTCTACCTGTTCTACTATCATTAAAATCACTATTATCATTAGACCTCACACAATAGGTGTGGCTTACTGCATGGTGCACAAAGTTGCTGAGAGCATCTCGATTTCAGAAAGCACAAACCTTCAATGTTTAAATCTGATGGAACTCGTTAAGCTTTGTCTGACAACATACTTCCAACTCAAAGACAAGGTACACAAACAGATGAAAGGAACCCTAATCGGATCGTCGATATCTCGATTGGTTGTAGAAGCAGAAATCCAGGGACTGGAAACCATCATTTTACCTGTGATCAGACCGAAAATCTGGATCTGCTATGTGGACGATACTTTTTTATCACTAAAAAGGATGAGTTAGAAGGCGCTTGCAGTCTGATCAACAGCGTTCTCAACGACATCCAGTTCACAGAGAGGAAGCAGTCGGACAACAAACTGCCACTCCTGGATGTTTTAGTCACTAGAACCAACGTAGAAAAATTGGAAACTCAAGCACACACGACACCAGCATACACTGATCAAACCTTCAACCGTAGTAGCAACAACTCACGAAATTAGTTGCATACAGGCTTTATTCAAAAGACCAAGAACATACTGCAGTACAACAACTTCATGGAGAAATGAAGAAAACTACTTTATGCATGTCTTGGAGAAGAGTGGTTACCCACGAAACCACCAGAATATCCCTATTCCACTCATCATCAACTGCAAAGTCATCCACGGAAATCAGCCGAAAGGTCATCCTACCATGCATAAAGAACATATCAGAGATCACGACAAGACTACTGAAACCATTTTGAATTAGTGTGGCTCAAAAGCCAACAAATCCCCCCCACGCCACATTATGCAAACCAAAAGAAGCAGTGGCTAAAGAAGAAAAATCAAACATCATTTACAAAACCACCTGCAACTACTATGATCAGCACTACATTAGACTATGTGGTCATCCTTTTCGCCTTTGTTTACGTAAACATCACTTAGCAATTAAACGTCACGACACTTCTCGCTCATATCGATGCACATGGACCAGTGTGGATATCGGTCCGATTTTAAAATGTGGAGATCTTTGACAGGGAAAACCCAAACAATCAGCAACCGATAGATGTGTAGACATAGACCCAATCTATCAACACCAACCAGTAAGGAAAGTGAGATAAAAAAACTGCAACGTCAGAGGTTTGGTAGGGAAACGGTCAGTAGAACAGTCAGGGGAACTACCAATTGCACACCACTATGTCAGCGTTGGTTACTGAATCACTCATGGAGAAATCCTGTTAACTGACTCCGTACTGCAGTTTGTGCTAGTGATGTTGGCTGGAAAGACAGTGACAGCTTCATGATTAAACCACTCCGCTCAGAGAACGCAACACACACCTGCCATGTGCAAGACATTAAAAATCGCACTCTGAGAAGGCAAGCTAGCTGATAGAACATATCAGAAATATGTGTAACATATTATTGCAAATAAGACAATTCTTATACCCTGAAATGATGGAGAATATTTGTAGCTCAGGTGGATGGTCTTGGCTGTATTGTGATCTCTGAGCTGGGCTGCTTAATCGTGAAGCTTTCATCGCCTTGCTGAACGACATCATCAGCACTAACTTCAGTATGAAGTGAGCTGTCAATATCTCTCCATGAGTGATTTAGTAGCTTGCTCTGACGATGTGGTCTGTGATTGGTTGTTTCCTTCGATTGTTGTGTCATTTATTGTATAGACTTTCCTGTTGGTTGTTCCTCTGCTTCACCTCTCACCTTTCTGTCCTTTATCACTTTTCTTATTGGTTGGTAGATCGGGTCTATGTCTATACATCTATTGATTGCCGACTGACTGACCTGAATGCCAAGCTTCTAGAAATTCTCTGACATTCTTTATGTTTCCTCTGTCCAAAATTTCTACATTGTCGAAATTGAATTCATGTCCATAATTATCCACGTGCGTTGAAATGAGTGACGAAATGTCGTGGCGTTTAGTAGCCAACTGGTGTTCATACAGACGAAGGCGAAGAGGGCAGCCGCTTTGTCCAATGTACCTCAATGTCACCATCAAGATATATTTATTATCTCATGTTTCAGTTGCTGTAATTTACAAATGTGAATGACATCACGATGCAACTTTGACTGGTTAGCTTTCACTAACATCTAGGTTACTGACTGCTGACATAACTTGTGCAATGGAGTGGAGGCTGAATGCACATAGTACCCAAAAATTTAGAAAACAGGATTTGGTAAATTAAGGTAACATGGAGAGAAATCGATAACAGTGGCATAAATGTATTCACTAGCTGTTTCCCTCTAAAAATTAAATATTTGCTAATATATGCATGTTTTTCTCCTTCAACCGTTTCGTTTCTTTGGGTTTTCTTTCTTGCATGCTGCTTCTCAATATGACGACCTGAACTGATACACCTTGGTGAACGCAGCTCATTGTCCTAACTACCTGATTTTCAACTAATATTTATTAGCGCTGATATTTTTTAACAGTTTCCTAAAATAATATGATAAGATTCAGCAACCATTCGCAAGTCCACATAAAGAGCATGTACCACTCAAACAGTAAATACTCACAACACTATAAATGACCAAACGAGTCAAATAGAAAGGCTCTCAGTAACCGTGGGTACGTTCTTGCAGTAAGCAGCCGGCCACATCTGTTGCGTGAAGGATTACATTACTATCTCGTTCCTCATATCTTAGTGGATGGAGCAGAATTTCAATCTGTGACCTACTGGTTGAAAGTCAGTTGTCTAAACCGCTTAGCCACACCTCCAGTTTGTAAATACCCAGGTGGTATATCGGGGCGAATAAAAGTATAGCTAAACCAGTGCTTCAAATGTAGTTTTCACCAATAACTCAGTAACATATAACAGCAGTCAGTAGGCAAAATGGCTTATTTTACTTACGTCATTCTTTTTTAGTTTGAAGTTAGCCTCTTGCAACCAAGCAAACGCTGGGCCTGTGTCTCCTTCTAGAAGCGCTTTTTCAATAGACACTGCTTCATCAAAAACTTCCATCATACATAGGTCACCTAATTCCGGTTTCTCTTGAGCGAATTTCAAAGCAGACTGAGGTTGACCATTCGTGAAAAGATAATCTGTTAAATGTCTTTGGAATCTCGCCAAATTAACTGTGCATTCATCAAAAGGGTAAGAACAATGAGGTTTGAGTGTAGTTTCTGACTCATTGTTGCCAGATTTCGATATCAACTCTTCAGACTTTTGGTTATTTCCAATTATGTCATCTACAACAATGGGTTAATCAAACAGTACAGTGAGGAACTCATGAAAATTATGCAGGAAACAGAAAATCAGGAAAGTACAGTCATTTACCCAGTAATAAGTATTGTTACTATACGTTACTAACATAACCTTAGCAATCACTTAAAATGCTCAAAAATCTTACAAATAAACTACGGCCTTATCATACATTCAAGTAACTGTAACAATATAGAACATCGATGAACACTACAATGGTTAAAGATACCATAACTGAAGGCCGACAAGGGAGACGAAGTGACCTCTAAAATTCACAAAAGAGCATAAAAATGAAAACCGAAGAGATAAGAAATAATGGGATGTTAAAATGTAAATGATGCTTAAGGGTGGTGGAGTCTAAACCACTGCAATCACTTTTGAATCATGATAATCTCAATGATCAGTCTCCCCGACCTAGCCAGAAAACCTCCAGTTACCATCACCATCTGACTTACAAACCAATGACTACAAGGTCTGCAGTTTTCTTCTCTAAATTTTCGTTTAGTGAAGGTCCATTACCTTTCTTTTAAGTTAGCCACTACATTAATAAAAGCAGATAAAAGTAGGGAACGTACAACGCATATTCACAACCTCAGCTGATGCACAAATGAAATTTTATTTAGTGGCCAGTTGGTTACTCAATACCTAATCACAATCTGATTAGAAAGGTCACAAGTTAAAACACAAGACAGTGACATTCAGAAAGCTCTTTCATTAAGTTGATGCTCCTTTTATCTTCAGTGGTCAATATTACTACTGTCTTGGACTATCAAATTTCCGGCTCTAATACCCATACTGGGTAAACAACACAAAATGTAAACGGAGTGCATAACACACAGGTCTATACTTACTTATGAAACTCAACATAAGAATTTTAGTGGGTTCAAACCAGCATCTGTACAGTAGTTTGCAACTAATCAACTGATAGGGCTTAAAGTTTCGTAAAAATGAGATTCCCAGATGTTCGACTATAATCCAACCGAAAGTGGAGCAATGAGTGATTGACTTAAGTAAGTGAACTTCAAGAACCAGGCCACGAGTTCCAACCTCCATTATATCAAATGACAGTAACACAATCGGCAGTCATGGACAAGTAAGACAGCAGGAAGGAGCTTGATTGCCAAAATCAACAAAGAACCTCGAAAACAAACAGGTATTCACTCAAACACATAGGTATCACACTAGTACACAGAGAACAAGTGGATAGAAAAAGAGTGATATCAAAGTGGACGAATTTGTGTGATAATAAACAATCTGAAGAAAAAGCCTAGTGCCAATATTCAAGTTTTAGAAGACGTCAAAGAGAGAATACATCTGCGTCACCGGGACCGATTTCCAGCAATGTCATCAAGACTCCTCAACCACCAACTCCTTTCATCTCGAGGACCCCAACCAGGCAGTCCACATCTCCAAAGACGGCTCAGGCCAATAGGAAGAGGACTCCATCAATTGAGGCCAGATCTTCGTCTTGTCACCCTTAACCCTCCTCCAACCCAATCCAACTTCCCCTACCATGAAACGTCAAAGTAGGCAGTGGCTCGACACACGCGGTACATATATCCAAACCATCTCACTTAACTAAGGTTCACAACCTCATCAATCGACTTGCCTTTCTTCTCTAGTACAATTCCCCTCACCCCCAAAACATTGTTCACACAGTGACTCAACCAAACGCAACCACTGTTACGAATACACCTTCGATCGAAACCATGTTACCCCTCCATGTCTTAAACTTCTAACGGTCATATCTCACACCCGTACAACAGGACACAACAAACCACAGCACAGTATACTCATCCCTTGGTAGATTGTCGGATATCTCGCCAGTCGACGTCACAGGTGACGCAAGTTCGCAAATGTTAAACAAGCCTTCTGTATCCGAACTGAGATTTCATCAGCAACCAACCCGTTCCGGTTGATGCAACTCCTCCAACTAAGTGAAGTGGTTGACACATTCCACCACTTCACTCCCTGCCCATCATCCAATCAGGAGTGCTTGCACATTGCCAGTCTTGCAGCATCACATTACATTCGACAGGTGCCAGCAAAACGCATGCCAAACATACACAGATTTCTGCTCAACGAGTTCAAAATACCCTACATTTTGTCACCCTATTCACCCAGCAGGACAATATCGTCTGCATTCTCCAAGTCAATCAGATCACCTCCAGAGAGTAGATCAACCTCTGTAAAGTCAGACGCACCCAAGGTTATGTCCATCAGTACGTCTATGACTAAGTCAGGTAGAAACGGTGACAGTGGACATCCCTGGTGGACACCACTAGTTGTCGTCAATTCACATGACAAATCTCCAGGAGCCCTTACACGGTTACCTGAATTACGGTAGAGAGCTTTCATCAGCATTATATACATCCTCGGTAATCCCTTCATAGTCAGACACTGCCATAACACCTCACGGTCGACTGGACGCGTGACCCATGAACTGGAAGTCAAGCGTTTAAATCAATGAGCCATAACAGATATCCAAAATAATACACTGCAAAACAATCTACGGTTCCAGGTGAGAACAACCCGCTTGGCTGCATCGGGTTGCAACTTTGAAATGTATTACTAAAAAATAACCAGAATTTCCAGAAAAGCTGCCTTCCTAGTGCCACAAAGAAAACAAAAGCTGTAGGTATTATGAACAATAGTCTCTAGTTTAGGCACTTCTAGTATGAGTGATAATGATTTGATCGATCAAATATTTCGAAGGTTGTCACATTCACCTCAAAAAGCCCTCAGGCTCTAAGGCCACATTTTCAGTGTTTTTGTAAGGCTAAAGTTTCTTTTTGAGTTGTGAGAAGTTTATCCCGGAAAATTTTAAAAAGTCAGTCAAAGCGTCCAGAAACTGTATTTTTTTAATAGTGAAACTAACATGAATATGTCACCTGGGAACTGCGACAAAGTTGATCCCTGTAAAGTTAGATGAGGAGGAGACCTCCATAAGGGCATTTATAACGAAATCAAATAAAAATCAAGAGAGTGGATATTCTCGACCGTCATCACTTGACACCATAACTCAACAAGTACCTCATGATATACTGCAACAAACCTGCGAGCATTTGAAGTGATGTACATGGAGTGATGAGCGTGCAAGTGATGTACTTGTCATCTACCCCTTTTAGAGAGATCTACTGTCATTATTATCGTCGGATTAAAATGCCACTCGTACGTTTAAGAACGTAGCTAGTGTTGGATGACGGTACGTACGCCAGCGTTTTAAGATTTGGTTGTTATACTCATGGCTAGTTTTGAAACCTTACTTTTCTCAAGTTTACTTTTTTCGGTGATAAATTAGGCGTTTTATGACCGTAAACGTCATTTTCATCATATGGCCAGACAAAGATGTGGCATCAATAAATGAAGTGTTTAACTATCAGTTAGCTATGTAGGAAGGTGTGGACTACCGGACTGGGATCCACAAGATGATAGGAATGGGTAGTTGAGGTCTCTTGGTGAAATGCGTGAAAATCTGTCGCAATGGTATAGATGTATTCTGTCTTTAACGTCTTCTAAAGCTTAAAAGCTTTCACTACAAATCATTCAACTGCTTCTTCCCTCCTACACCTTTGTCTATTTTGATGTCAGTCTTTTTCTATTAATTTGCTCTTTGCATGTTACTATGAAATATAGAAAATTGAACGGATACGCCTGTGTGAGCTTCTGTGTTGATTAAGTTTGTTTGTCTGCCAGCCCTCACAAAGTAAATGTGGCTCACAGACTGGTGTACGAGACAGCACGTGGTTGCTGAGTTAAATTTCGTTTGGACCCATGAGCCACAGTCTTTCCTGGAAGAAATGTTGAATGTTTTATAACGTATTTGAGTTATTTAATTGGCTAACTCACAGCAAAGAATAGTAATAGTTGCCTTAAATCAACAAGTTGCCGCCCTACTTTGTAATAACAGTCAGATTTGTTGGAGCTGAAAAATCATAAGACCATAAGTAGGGTGAGCAAGAGAAAAAGTACGGTCATTAGGAATGGATCTTTACATAATGCAGTCTAACTTTTCCAGGACTTGAGAGTTTTTAGTGGGACATTGGATACAAATGATATTTGCGTATTGCTTACTCCTAGCTATTAACGTAATGTTACTGTAACCCTTGAAAACATAACCAACACGTGAGGTTATCCTGTAGTGGCAATTTAACAAACCTCAGATGTATCAATGAAGTTTATGCATTGTAGAATGGTATAACGTATTATAAGGGAATTTTACTTTACCTTAATAAATGCACTTATCCAACTCATACATTTCTAATGTTTCGTGGAATTGATTGGTTATCCAAGATAATCTTGCGTTTTGTGATGACTACCGCGTACAGTTATTGATAAGACAAACAGACAAAATCAATATGGAAGGTCACAAAGAAGTGCATCCATTCGATTTTCTACAATTCATAGTAACATGCAAAGAGCAAATTAATAGAAAAAGACTGACATCAAAATAGACAAAGGTGTAGGAGGGAAGAAGCAGTTGAATGATTTGTAGTGAAAGCTTTTAAGCTTTAGAAGACGTTAAAGACAGAATACATCTATACCATTGCGACAGATTTTCACGCATTTCACCAAGAGACCTCAACTACCCATTCCTATCATCTTGTGGATCCCAGTCCGGTAGTCCACACCTTCCTACATAGCTAACTGATAGTTAAACACTTCATTTATTGATGCCACATCTTTGTCTGGCCATCCTGAGTCTTCTTCCAAAATAATCCAACTACTGTTAGCATAGGATCGGTAGCAGTGTGTAAGTTAATCAACTCCTACATAAATATGTAAGGTGGTGCTTAATCCTCTTACCGTCAAAAATAAACATTAAAATCTACCCACCGTTAAGCAAGCATAGTTGACTTAAGTGTTCAATCCGTCTTTTACATGATTTTAATAGTTTCCTTTCTTCAAAGCACACATATTCAGCCTTAGATAAAGGATATTAGCTATGGTTGTTTTACCTTGCGTTTCACACCACAAACAGTCTCCAGAACCTTGTTAAGAGCTTCGTAGCTTTGGAGATATCTGAAGCATGTTCTAACTCGTCAAGTGATTTATTCAGAGCGGCTATGCCTTTTTCCATATCACGGTGATTGCGTCTGTACCGCTTATTCAGCGACTCATAACTAGCCTTTTATCTTGTGATTCAAATTAAAAAGATTCGTACTTTTACGGTCGTGTATTCCATGACCTCCACTTCATTATAGCTCCTATTGTCACTGGACATAGTCAGCTGATCGCAGCTAACTTCAGAACTGCCGCTTACCATCGGTTCAGATGGTTCCAATATCCAATATCTTTTTACGAGCTTGTGCAAACCAGTTGATTTCTTCGCTCTCGCTTCTTGGTCTTGTGGAACGGCTCCAGATATTTGGCGGATTCTGATGCAGCAGGTCCAGGTACTCCTCTGCTATAGCTCCGATTTACAGAACAGGAAGTTAAGTGTTGGTTTGTTTGCCTTGGACTGTGGTGTAGTTGGCTTCTTCAGACGTCAAGTTGCCTGACAGTTGTTGGGACTGGTCGCTGGAGAGGGTTAGGGATAGTGAAGAGAAAACTTAGAAAGTGTTTGTGTGGGTAAAAGAAGAGAGGAAAGGTGAACTAATTGGGTAATCTACTTGCACCCAGGTGAGGTGAGTAGGGATGCAAAGGTATGAAGAACCTAGGTAAGTGAGGCTAACCTATGGCAGGTGGAAGGGGTGAAAAAGGCTTCAATGGTTACAATAGAAAGAAAACTGGTTGGGGTGGCATGACATCACTTCATGTTCCAGTTATGAGTGGGTAGACCATGAGTCTCTGCATAGCTGTCTAGCCTTCTCTTGAAGCTTTCAACAGTTGGGGCGGAGGCCACCTCTGCTGGTAGTGCGTTCCAGTACCTACAGACTCGGACGGAGAAGAACTGTGAACGCACATGCGCTTTTGACCTCTGGTGTGCTATTTTATTGGGGTTTCTTCGAGGATCTCTATAGTGGCCACTCGGTAGGATTCCTCTGTTTGGGTGACTTGGGTTACTCATTATTTTGTAAGCCACTAATAAGTCGCCATGTATCCTCCGATAGCCAAGGAAGTATAGACCTAGGTCTTTGGGTCTATCCTCATATGGTTTTCGTTGCATTCCAACAGCCCTTTCGTAGCTCGCCTCTGGACTTTCTCCAGTAAGTTCGCGTCTCTTTTCAGTTGTGGTGGAGCGAAGACGTTATGGACCTCTTAGTGAGGCCGTATGTAAGTCTTTTATAGCTTCAGAAAGAGTTCTGGGGTGAGAGCACCTAGTTGTCAATGCACAAAGTGTAGTACCCCATGTGCTTTTGAGACATCACCCGGGTAATTGAAACTGGTGTCCAGTTTCTCCGTCACCGTTAGACCCAGGTCTTTTTCTACTGTGGTATGGGATAGACGTGAACCACAGAGATAGTGGGATGTTTTCTGGGGATCAGGAGTGAGGAAAAACATGGACTGGCACTTATCCAGATTAAACGCCAGTTCGTTCTTAGTTCCCCATTCCTCTAGTGTTCTGGGTCCTTCTGTAATGCCATAGATTCCGCACCCTGGAGATTTTCCCGAGCTTAACTTTAAAAGCTTGTTGAGAGCAACAGCACAGGTTATCTATATTTCGTGTAACTCAGTAGCATCGGATGAAGTTGGGGCTGTTCGTGCGATTGGTATGCGCACTTTCTTGACGGAATGTTGAGCTGTGTGTCAAATGTGGTGCTCAGCATCTCAGTAGTCTCCTGTCCAGGGAAGCTTTCTCCGTTTAGACCTTTTATGACACATGCTCCTTGGCTTGTCGATTTTCTTTTTGCCATGAATCGGTAAAGGTTTTTAGGGTTTACCTCAAGCCTTTTGAAGAGGTTGGACTGGAACGACCTCCTGTCTCCCCACACCCTTATGTTGCTTCGATTCCGTAGAGTCATGTATGCGCCACGGTCATCCTGTTCTCTGGAGAGTCTCCATGTGTGCCATGCCCTTCTCTTGGCTTTTGGAAGGCGCTCAGTGCCCCTTTTTGGTCATGACGTTAGCTTACTGGTTGTTGTTACAGCCAAAGGGACGTTTTGTGAGATGGCAGCCCTAATGATATCTCCTACCAGTTCCCAGTGCTGGTCCATCGAAAAGGAACACCAATCCACTGGCCACGAAGCCGTTGAAAAGCTCTTGTTCATACCTTCGTAATTTGCCTTGTTGTAGCATGGGTAAAGGCGAGGTCCCTCCCATGATAGCTCTTCAATTATTACCAGGTCAAACATTACAGTAGCGTGATCGCCACTTCCAAGAGGGGTTTGTACCTAGACGTTTTCAACCAGAGGGGGATCACTAGTCAGTAGGTAATCCAGTTTAGATGGTTTACCATCTGACCCCCAGCGGGTGTTGTCGCCGATTTTTTCCCGCAGTCCAGCCATTTGGACGGCGTTTAGCAGGTTACAGTCGAAATACCGGCTCGGGGTAGTGCCACCCTGCTCTAGGCCGAGGGTTGGAGCGTTGAAGTCGCCAGCTATTAAAATCTGGTCGTACCCTATAGTTGGCACTGTGGATATTGCTTGGAGTAGTTTTTGGTTATGTTCCAGGTTGCTATTAGCGGACCTATAGATTTCTCCAACTAGGAACCTGGTGTGTTTGACCGTGAAGTGGCACCAGATAGAGTCCGGGAGCTCTGTCAGTGCCGTGTCAGTGGTTCGTTCACTTCTTAACCACTTGTTCACGTATATTGCACCCCCTCCGTCCCTGTGTTCTCTGTCTCTCCTGAATAGAATCATATCATCTATGTTAACTTCGGTGTCGACTACGTCTGGTGACAACCACGTTTCTGTCAGGACCATAATTTTCGGGGTGAGGTCGAGACAGAGGGATCGGAACTCCGGCATTTTACCTCGGAGTCCTCTCAAGTTGCTGTAGAGACACTTGGAGGTGTTTCCCGTAACGTGGGATGTCCCTGAGTTAACTAGTGGCAGTGGTTTGGATGTGGGGGTTTCTACTGACTGAACAGTTCCAATGGAACTGGCCTAGTTAAGTTTTTTCCCTCGTCGCCCGGTGCATTCGGTGTTGAGTGGAGGTTGCTGGTCTGACTCTCAACGTTTCGGTTTAGGGTTACGGTGGCCTGAGCACGGGGTGTACCTGCTGTCTGTTGTTGTCGCAGTGTTCTCGGTCTGCTTTCACAGCAGCGAACGTTACCGCTTATGGTGCTCTTGACTTTGTACCACATCTCCAGCACTCTGGTGAGTACTTCTGGGGATTCAAAGTTGACAGCCATTAGTCTAGGTGGGTCATGGTTGTCAGATGCAGGGTGCGTGGTGGTCTGCTAATTGTCACAGCTGCGACCCCGCTCAGCTCCATCCGAGCCGATAACCACTCCCATTGTTTGACTTCATGTGTGTACTTCTCACCCGGGGTACCGGTCACCACTTCAGGTATTCCATATACGACCATGGTTGTGAGTTTTAATGGACCAGATGCTTCTCGAGATGTCTTTCTTGACACCCATGATCGGTCAGGTCTGGCTCCAATGTTGGACGACCTGTTGATGACCAGGGTGTGTGACAGTAAGAGGAGCTTTTCAGCGTCTCTAGTTGAGCCTAGAGTCACTCTCACCGGCGGAGGCTTCCCTGCGGGTGGGCGGCTGCCTTTGTATAGTCACACAGTTTTGCCTCGAGAACGCCCAGACCTAGCGTGGCGCAGAGGGGGTCCCACCGCCGCCTGTTAAACTTGTCCTTATGTTCCAGAGGGCTATCATAACAGACGGGAACGTTAAACAGAATGACAGAGTTAAATCGGTCAATGATGCCAATATTATTCTATTCTATAGGTGCTTTTTCACGGGTGCTTCGAGTTTTTTTTCCACCCTGGCCCATTCTCTATGTTGTCCGCTGGTTGTTGTTTCTGGTGTGGCTCCATGGCTTGGGGTAGATGCAATTGTCGTTGGTGTAGGCAGTGTTTCATTCGGCTTAGAACCCCTCAGGTTTTTGACCTTCAGTAGGCCGTTGCCGGAATCATCTGGAGAGTGAATATCCTTTGTGACAGTGGTTTGGGCGAATACCTGCTTTTTGATTGCTGGAGATTTATCGGTTGCTCTGAGTAAGCCTGAGGCTGGGCGCGGTCTCAGATGACACTGTGGGCAAATGTGCCAAAACCACGTGCACGGGTGACGCGTCATAAAGCTATATTACTGATGTGGCACTTCTTTTTCACATCGGCAGTGCACCCATCTGTTGCAGCTGTCGCACTCAAAGGCAGCATCACTTTTAGTAACAGTGAGAGCACATGTGTGGCAGTTGTCATCATGTCCATGCGGTTCTTCCAGACGTTTATGCCCCACTCCTTGACGTTTCCGACTAGTGGTTCTCACTGGGGGGTCGGGGTGGGCGCAGGGAGTGGCATGGGGCTCTGGGCTTACTTGAATAGGTCTAGTGACGTTTACGGTACCGAGAGGACTGGTTGCACGGCTAACTTCAAGTGTTGCAAGCGGTGATTGTGACCGACCGGGAGAGGCGGACTAAGGTGGTGCGTTCGTATCCTCATTTGCTTTCTGTGCCACGCTTTGGCGTCTCGTAACTCCAGCCCTAGTAACTAATGAGAATGAGGTGGTCAGTAACTGTGGCGAGAATATACTCAGAGCATTTTACCGCTTGCCTTTTTTGGGATCAGCACACTTTTATCACACATATTATTATTGACAAACAGATGAAGACGAAATGAGTAGAACAATGAAAATGCACGGCAGTAAACAGAAGACTTTCGATCTTACCTTCAATTGTCTGTTCCTGCGACTCTGTCGAAGTTCAAAAACTACCAAGTCCTGAACGTAGATGTTAGTGAGATATATTTTGCTGCAGATGCAGCAATCTGAGCTACAACAGTTGGTCGAGACAGCCAGACCTACCACATAGTTGTCCGTTTGGAGCGTGATAGTGGTGACGAAGTAAGCAGTGATATTTTCTGCAGCAAGATTGTTGCAGAAACGTTAAATGAGTTGAAAGCTCTTAGTGGATAGTTGTAAATGCGGATTTTGTCGAGATGGATGGGGATGAGCTAAAACACGTCACTATTCAAGGAGCGCGCAGTTCGGATGGTTGTTGACGGAATCGAAGAAGCTTTCGC